TTGAGGTTCCTCTCCCCTGGCAACTTTAGTTTAAAATCCTCTTCTCCTGAGGTATATTTCTTTTCTTGAGATATGTTATAGTAACAAATAAAATAACTAGAGACTTCACCTGAAATTCAGCTTTTCAGTCTTCATTCAGATATTTTGAAGGTAATTGAAACAGGTGCATCATACTAACTTGTATACCTTGAAGTGTTTAATGATGAAAATGAGAAATGAACCAGCAGAAGTATGGTTTTATTTTATTTATCTCTTCTTAGTATTAGATCTTGACAGGGTTAATTTTGTTTGTTTTTCTTTCATAATTGATTTTAAGAAAATAAGTAGAATTAATTTTGGCAAGAAGCATCCTTTTTTGTTTTTTCTTCAGTTGTATTAGAGAGAAATGTATTTCCGCTTCAGGCCTAATCCTTTAATAACCGGCTAGAAGAACCCACAGGGTTTCTATTGTAAATTCATTCAAAGACACAATCACAGATAGTGATTGTGGAAAGGGGTTAAATGAGAACTTAATTACCCTTGCCTGCCAGGGATAGAATAGCTGCAGTGGTCTTGCCAAGTTTTCTGTTACCCTAGTTGAAAAGACCTGCGGATTGTAAAGTTTTTTTCCAGAGTAGACATCGCTACACTCCTAAGATTTCATTGTGGATGGTGAATTAATACCGAATTATCTTTTATTTATGCTCTGTTTGCTATGATTCATTAGCAACTATGTACAATACTGAAGTGATATGAGATGTAATGTGTAGCTGAGTTGGCAACGACGGAATAGGAATTATGCCAGTAGCTTTACAGCTGTCCTGGGAATTTACATAAGCCACTGTGATAATTAGGAAGTCATTTATAAATTCAAACAGTTTGTTGAGAAGATGAAAGATTTTCATGCTGATTCTGTAGTCAGGCAAGTGTTGTTTTCAATGTTTTTGCTCTAGGCTTTAGAATTCAAGATGTGCAAGATGCGTCCATCTGCAAAATCTCTTATATGTGGGGAATGGTGGAGTTACAGTGCTACCCAGAGATTTGCTTCACTAGTAAATGGCTATACTCTTCTCGTGGAGGTGTATTCACTTGTGCATGGTGTTCTGCATGTAGATGTTTTCCGTTACTCGAGGTGCAAAGAGCTTGTGAATATTCGTGATGTTCTTATTGAAGAATGTTATGCTGAACTAGCAGAAGAATCATATGAATCACAAGTATGTATTGATTAAGTAGCTTCTACTTTTTTTTATACTAATTTATTTTGGCTCAGGCTGTCTGAAGTCCTGACTTCAGTCATGACAGAAGTTGAGCTGAAGTCTTGACTAATGCTATAGGATTAGGCAAGGTTAATACTTGAATGGGACAATATATTTTTATGTGTGTGCATAATTCATATTGACCTGTTGGCCAAAAGCATTGCTGCTTTGAGACACTTTTTAAAGAAGTGTTTCCCAGGAGATGGCATCAATTGAGCTGCTCCACTGTTTTTTGAAACTTAAAAAACATAACTGTTTCGTAGGTTTAACTGTCTTCCATTTTTATGTTTTATATAATCTGAAAGGTGGTAAGAACATTGTTTTTTGTATTTGTATGCGAGTATGCATGTTCTTTGTGTAGGAGGCTTTTTTTGTAAAATTTTTGAAAAACATAGCTGTTTCATGGTTTTAACACTCTTCCATTATTATGTAGCAAAACCATGATTTGCTGAAGGGATTATTTTTGGACGAAGTAAAGAAAGATGACAAAATGCCTGTATCTTCAAGAGAGGAGAAGTATCTCATTGAAAGATTGTTAAAGTTGTTTTCTGACAATAAATCTGGTGCACCAACCCATAAGGTAATTGGAGAGTCAGTTTTGTCATGTCGTTACATGACCCTGCTTCCACTTTGTTAGAATGGAGATGAAAACTGAAAGTACCTTTAATATCCAAACTACACTTGCTGCCTTCCATAGTGCATTCTACCTTCTGTTGGTAGAAAGCCATAATGTGACCACAATTGCAGATGAGTCTATTGCAGCTATTATCAAAGTTTTGAAGTGTAGCCTAAGAGCCAAGTGAGCCAACTCTTCTAACACACTCCAAGGCAGAACTTCGAACTGCAGCAGAACAAAGATAAAATTGAAGAACCAAACACTGTATTTCCGTATGTGATACTCTTTGTTATATACACTACAGCAAAAAGCAAGATTACAACCCTATCAGTTTTTCAGAAAATTTAAACAGCACTCCAATAACTGATAATAATGAAACAGTATGTTTTCAAAACTCAGAATTTATTCTTACTTACGAATTTTGAGGTATCTAGTCATTACTAAGCTGGAATATAAAACACAAGAAGGTGTGTCCTGTTCTGCATTCTGATTAGGAGTTAAGTCTTGTCTACATTGTAATTCTTTTCCCATTTCAGACCTCACAAAATTTCAGGCTTTCAAGCACCTAATCGTGCTCAGTTTACCCAGAGGAGTAATCCTGTTTAACTACTCACTTTATGAAAAAGTGAGATATAGTCAAGATTAAAGACCTGCTCATGTAAACAAACATGACCTGATTTTGTTAGGTGCTCTGTGAAGTCTGAACTTGTGGTTTTTAAGCCAGAGGAAAGTTGTGAATCCCCAGCGCCTGTGAAAATACATTATTTTTGTTTAGGTGCCTCAACAAGCAAAGTTTAATTTAGAAATGAAAATGTTGTTTATCAGTTTATCAATTCAGTGTTACTCAATACATGCTGAAATGCGTTTTGGCTTTCATTTATAAAGGATTTTCATTTGGAGAGATCTGAGTGCTGGCTAACTAGAATATCATTTGTTCTCTCTCTTTTTGAAGGTAACAGTTTCTGGCCCGTTCTGTCCTTATGAGGTGAAATGCTATAGTATGACTAGAGTAACCCAGTTCAGGTATGAGAAGGCTTTTACTGTGAAATGTAGGTGTGTTCTCAGCTGTTATTTTTGATAAATAGACAAAAAACATACTAGTTACTCTACAGATTTTTACAGAATTTTTATTCATTTAAAGGACTGAAGTAGTCAGACCTGAATTGCATTAATATGCATACTCTTGCTACGTGAAATTTTAAAGGTGCTTTAATTTCTTACAGTGAGATTATTTATTAACCATTATATGCATCTGCTAAATGGTATTCAGGTAATCTCAGTAACTGCTATGCATTGAGGTTGCACTATGAATTTAAAAGAAGTCTTTTTTTACGTGTTTGTATGGGGTTTGGTTTTTTATTGTTGAAAATATTTCTTATTTCCTCCCCAGAAATGCTATTATTCAAAAGGAAAGCATAAACTCTGTTGTTGTCCATGATGCTCCAGAAGATCGCTTTCAGCAATTGTTGGTTGCTGCTTCTTTATCAGCAAATGCAACTGGTAATGCTTAATAAAGAATAAAGTAATTCTTCTCTATGAGGGTGGTGAGGCACTGGAACAGGTTGCCCAGAGAAGCTGTGGATGCCCCATCCCTGGAAGCGTTCAAGGCCAGGTTGGATGGGGCTTTGGGCAACCTGGTCTAGTGGAGGGTGTCCCTGCCCATGGCAGGGGGGTTGGAACTAGATGGTCTTTGAGGTCCCTCCCAACCCAAACCATTCTGTGATTCTATGAATAAAAATGTTTGGACAATTTCTCTAGATTTTTGTTTCTGTGTGAATAGTTCTAGACATAAATATATCACTGTAGTCGTACATTACACCTTTTTGAGGTTTCATTTTCATTAGATGCTCTATTGATTTTATTTTTTTTAATTTCTTTTTTAATTTGGTGACAGGATCTGCTGTGATTTTAGAGGAAACATCTTTGATGCCTCCTATTCCTGGCCTGTTTGCGCTCCTCAGTATGCTGTTTGCTCCCACTATAGAACTCAGGTATTCATGTGTTTTTAAAAGTGATGGTTCTTTTATGGTTTTTAGGACCCTCACAAATTGGTCACAGATTTTTTTGTTTGTTTGGGTGTTTTTGTGCTTTCAGCATTTATCATGTTCTCTACCTGCTCATGTGATTCTGGTATCTTTTATCAGTATGTATCTAAGATAACTTATTTCATGTAGTTAGGAATTGGTGCTGCAGGCTCTTCCCTCACGATAATGCAGTACAGTTGCTGACAATCATGCTGGAAGCCTAGGAAGATGAACTGTACAACTGGGCAAGTTTTAAATCTATGTGAGGAGAGGAACTTGCATGATTTTTGTAAAAGCTGAGTTCTGATAGTTGCATTACTGTTGTGTGTTGTTTAAATTCTTGTATCTGTACATTGTTGCATCTGTATGTCATTTCAACATAGTGAAGCTAGCTTTCTGTAATTAAAGTTTCATTTTATATATGTATGATTTTCTTTTTAAGTTTTATATGTTTTCCTAACCACAACTTGAGTTTTGTTTCATCACTATATTTAAAAAACAGTATGACAAGGTGTGAATGCCTCTCAACTATTTTAGCTTCTTTAAAACACCTGTATCTTGCTTGGCATGGCTTAGACAAATTCATTTCAGCCTGCCTTCATGTGAGTTTAGTTTCTTCATCTCTAGGCAAGACTGTTTTCTTTCTTTTTTGTATAGGGCTGATAAAAGTGGGAAGTATTTTACTGGTGTTCTGTGTGGTTTGGGTTGGAGTCAGACTTGTGGGGCTCCACTGCTTCCAGAAAATGACATGGAGCTGACATTTGATGTCCATTTTGGAGTGGAAGACATATCAGAGGTAAAACATGCAGAAGAATTTTTGCTATAGTAGGAATTAAGTAGAATTCAGTGTATCAGAGCTTGTTAATTCTTAGAGTTAATAAGAAAACTTGTTTTAAGCTGTGGTTTTAGGATTTTTTTTTTAGTGTACTACCTGTTTATAACATTGGATTCTTATCAGAAAAAAACCAGTTACCCCCTCCATACACTTTGAACAAAATAAAATATTATAGAACAATACATTGTACTCTTTTTAAAACAGAAGCATCAATTATGCAGTAATCAGATGTAAATACTTGTTAGTTTTTAGGATTACTGTGGGTTTTCCTGATCTGCCTAGCGTTACTGCTTTGCAATCTTCAGTTTGATTTTACAGCTCTGATAAATTGCCTGTATCAAGCTACTTCTCCCAGAGCAGACCGACCAACCAACCAATAAAACCCCTTGTATTCCTCATGACAGCTTTTTTTGCAACTTGTAGGCAGAGATCTATCAGAGGGAAGTATGTACATATACTCTGTTACACAGAACAGTAAGCTGTATTTGACCTGTGCTTTGGATTTGACATATGCTTTAGACTGTGAAGGACCTCACATGCCCTGGTTAGTTCTGTGTAGAGCAGGTACATTAGATGATGACCAGTGGTTTCCAGAGGCTTTTTAAGGACACAGTGGACATGCTGGGGCACATATTTGTGAGCTATTCTTTTTCCAAAAGCACCGACTTGGTGTGTGTGATGTCTGTATTCATGGTACCTTAGCCAGAATGGTAACACCAAGCTGTTATGCATGTGAAAATTATGGACAGACAGAGAAAATCCTTAAAACTTTTACAGAAGGAATTCTGTGTTGGAAAAAATGCAGGCAAGTGATAGCCTGTATGTTTTCTGGCATATCTGAGTAACCTTAAAGACTGTGATATCAAAGTGGCTAAACGTCAATGTCTTTGACCAGCAGAAATGCATCTGAAGGAAGAAGTGTTTCTAAAGCTTCAGATGGTTTTGCTCATGTTAATAATACTCCAGTTGAAGTTTGGTATGGGTGCCATGACCACCTTCATGTCAGTATAATATAATACACAACTAGTGCTGGAGTGCTTTATATTCGGTCACTGGTATTTTTACAGATAAACATCCTAAGGACAGCCATTAATAAGCTGCTCTGTGAATGTGCACTGTGTTCTGGACAAGAGAGAATGATGCAGCTGCAGGAAAACGTTCGTCAGAAACTTCTATGGTAATAAATTTGTAGAAATAAGATCTTCTGTTTCATAGTCTCTAGCAAAAAACCAAAATAAATATAAATGATTGCTTGAAGCATAGCTCAGATTAGGCTTTGGGGGAATAATATATGTTCTCATTTAATGATGCATTTCATTTACTTTGTTTATTTATAAAGCAGTGTATTCAACAACTTTATACGTCTTGTGGAAGCACTGGTTCTTCAGGGAAGCCTGATTGCTCAAGAGTCATAAAACCTAGACTGTAAAACCTGTTCTGCAGGATACCAGTTCTGATGTACCTTTGCTTTGTGCACCCAGGACAAAGCTAATAAAGAGTATAAGAGTGGCATAAGAGTGCAGAAGGATTTAGAATTCTTTCTCCCTATTGATTAAATTTGAATTGTCTGTGCTGCCTTTCCTCCCTCAGTAGACCCGTGTAGGGTAGGTGTTGGCCAAGTTCATTGCTGGAAAGTCCCAGGTTAATGTAGGAATTGAAGTAAGGACACCTGCATTTTTTTCCAGGAGCCCTCCCTGCTTCTCCTGACTGAAGCAGTGGTTCTGAAAAGGCTTTTGTGAGTCAGCACAGGCAGTCTCGAGAATTTTTTTAGCTTGCAGTGTGTGGGAAGTGTTTGGGGGACCCAGTTCAATGAAGTATCCCTGTAACAGCTCCTCGTGATGCCTGCCACTGCTGAGCGTGCTGTGAAAAAACTTCCCTTGTTTGTAAATGTAGTGTGCATCTCGGTGCTGTCTGTGTCATCACTAGGCTTTTCTCATCCTTACCCAGCTCTGTACTGAGTCAATTTCAGAAAGAGCTCTGGCTCAGCTATGAATAAGAGCTATGTTATGTTCTTTAGTATCTCTAGGAAATGGGACCTTTTAGCAAGTAGAGCTTTTCTAAAGTAACTGTAAGCCAAAGTGAGGCAATTTTTCATGCTGATAAAGATCAGAAGCTTTTAAGCGTAACTGTCCTTACCCTAGGTTATCAAAATTAATATCAGAACAGCTATTTATGCTGAGTTTTCAGGTGTTAAGCATGTTTTTGAATGTACCAGCTCAGTTGATTATCTTTTTTTCCCAGCTGTGAAAAACCTATTATAATGCCTTCTGTTGAAAGCAAGTGCCCATACTTCTTATTTCCAAAACCTGAGAAACAAAATTTAGTGTGGTGCATTTTATAATAAATTAACAAGTGTGGGGAGGGTCAGCCTTACCCAGAAATGAAATTAGAAGAGCAGAGGCAATTGCCAGAAGATGTGGCGATACCTTTTATATGTTAGCTGACCAGCAGACATGTTGGATGTGACAAGGGAGCAAGGTGATAGTTTTTGGTTTGGATGCTACGCTGCGCATGCCACCAGTGGGTCAGCTGCTGTTCTCTGAGACAGGGCAGCCTGGAGCCAGCTGTTGCAGTGGTTTGTGTGTGCCTCCAGAAGGTGGTGGTACAGCTTCACAAAGGCTCTACCGCAGAGATGCACGCTGCTTGCGCTTTCAACTCAAGGAGCACCAGTGCAGGCTGACAGCAAGCTGTTTGTGCTTCACGTCTGCAAAAATCTTGGTGAAATACCAGCTGTTGAGCACACTGCCAATGCAGTATTTAATTCCCTGTTTGTGTCCAAGTACCTCAGGCCAGTTGGTGTCTGCACTGCCTTTGGACGCTGCCATGTAGTACCCTGCTTAGACTTCAAAGCTGAACGAAGATGGCTTGTGTGATTCGTGTGGTATTAAGTGTAGGGAGAAGTCAAGAAAAGTGGATAGGCAGAAAGAAGCAAAACCACAAAACCTCTCTGGAGGTGACTGTGACAGTAACAGGAGCTCAGACTTGGACACTACCACTTACGTGCTAAATTCAAGACACAAAAATGTCACAACTATTTTTTTTAGACATGTGAATACTTGCTACTGTTTCAGGACCCTTTTTTGGGCTGATTGTCCAGACAGGAAGGGAAGGAGCAGCCCCTTGGCGCAGGTTCTCAGTGTTGCAGTCTTCCCCAGCTCGGTCAGTCCTGACTGCCTGACTCAGTCATTCTCGTCAGCCTTCCAGGATTTTTGTTTTTCAGGAGTTTGTATCTTTCTGCAGTAGAGACACACAGGGTTATGCTATCAAGAAACCAAATTCAGTAATTATTCCGTATTTTTATTCTGGATTCTTTTTCTGAAGTCCCTGAAGCTAGGCCTTTTTTAAACCTTTTTGAAGGAAGAGACAATCTCTTTTATCATCTGGTTATTGTTGTGATGTCGTCTTTTGTATAAAATCGTTCTTCATTTTGAATATGTTTTTTCTGATTCTACTTTGGTTTATGTCTTCGAAAAAACCCCTAACCTTTTATTAATAAGAGTAAATATGTAAAAATTTAGCCTGAACAGTCTTTCATAACTTTTTTCCATTTTTTGAAAGCTAATTGTATTTACAACATGTCACCACTACTTAAGACTAAAATGTGTGTTTGAAAAACACATCTCGACAGAATTAATTAAAGTCTACTACTGTTGTACTTTGCGTAGCTTGAGGAAATAACTGGAGCAGACAGACAATCTATCGTAATGGAGTTATCATGCAAAACCAAATACCCTAAAAATAGCTGTATTATACGTTCTAATGAATAAGCATACATAAAACTTATGGAATAAACGACAGTTACAAATTCTAGTTCTTTGTAAATAAAAAAACCCAAACCTCAAACAGTATTTTCTTTAAAAGAAAGTACATTCTAATACACTTCACATATACTAGCAAGGCAAAATACAGAGACATGAACAAATCAGAGGAGATTAACAAGGAAATTCAAGATTTCCTTCAGCACAGACAGCTTGTAAATGCCCAGTTATATCAAATATACAAATTCCTTTGTATTTATAGTTAATCAAATACAAGTGTATTTATTAAGGTTATTTTTATGTAATTTCAGTTTAATCTGCAAATCAAAACCTCGAGATATAATTGTTCCTACTTGGTATGAGAAGCCATATGCATGGAATCAGGTAAGGGTATAAAGACAGGGGTTTTCTTCTTAAAAAGACTACTTAGAGTACCCCAGTACAGTTAGTTAAGAAGGGTCAAAGGGAGAATTTCATTTGGAAGGATGTCTTTTTGGAGCCTGGGGAGAAAAATTTAAAAAAAAAAAAAAAAATTCAAAGATACTGAAAGCACTAGAAGGAGTCAAATTTAAGGCATAAGAACTGCTGTGTTCAGCCTCCATTGATACCCTATTTTTGTAGAGTTTATTTAGTTTTTTGGGTGTTTTCTTTTTTAATTTTGTTTATACAAATATTTAGCCTTTACAAACAGAACACTGCATGATTTTTAAGTTGAGATTGTGAAGGCAGCTTTACATTTGTTGGAAGTTAAAATTTTGTATTCTTTTTATTAAGCAGTTGTGGCCTAAAATAAAGATTGATACACTTTTCTTGTTTAGGGTTTATCTGAATGCAGTGCATTTTAGTTTTGGTTTGGGTTGCTGTGCTTTTAGGTGGTGCTGTGCTTTTCCTTTTAAGCAGACAGAAACGTGGCTTGCTTTGGAATGAATGTGGTGGGATCGGATAAAAGGGCAGTTTTCTGGAAATCCAGGAGGGTTTTGCAAAAGCTGAAAAGCTTAGCTTCCTACTCTGTTAGAAATCTTACCCTTCTTTCTGTAAGGGCTTCTGCAGTCTGCTACATTTCCTGACGAACAAGTGCCTTTCCTTAATTAAAAGGAGGCAAGGAATTACTGAGTGCAGCAGTAAGATTTCTACACATGCCCTCCCTGTGCCTCTCCCACCCTGAGGCACATAAATGAGAGATTTAGGTCTCTCTTCTGGAAAAGATGAGAACAGTGAATGAGCACCAAGGGCACGTATTTCTAGTACACATTCACTGCAGGGTTAGAGTGCCTTAAGCCAAAGTGTCTTCATATTCCAAATTCAGTTATCCTTGGTATTATGAAGGTAATTTCCTATTCAGTTATATTGGTGTTTGGCTTTTTATAAGAAGTTAATGTATGGGCCTTGGATCAGGATTTTTCCTCTAGAACTGAAATGCCTGTATGGTTTGAAACTGGCAAAACTCTTCAGAACTCTTCTTTAACTATGTGATATGGGAAAACAGTATTAAGAATGCCTTCTGACTTTCATGTTGCTTCTTTTATTAGGTGGATTCTCAGCAGATCATTGACCAGTCTGAAAAGCAGCATGAAAGAGGAGATGGTCTTTATCAGCTACATAAGTTCGTTGTGTTGAATGTTTAAGTATTTCTAGAAGTCTTGCAGAGGAAGAGGTATTACAACTAGTCTAAAAATTACTTTTGTCTTCTAGATAACACTCAGATGTTTGTTTTGCAACACTGTAAGATTAGTGTAAGTGCACTAAAACACAGTTTGGAATATGTTAATGTTTTTGTAAAAAGCTAAGGTTTGACCTAGAGCAGACGAGTTTATTCATAAAACAAACTGACTTAAAGCAGGATGAAAATTTCATTTTAATAATACTTCTGAGCAGGTTTATCACAAGGTACATGAAACACAAAGCAAATGTAGGTTTGGTCATTTTCTGTTTAAAATCTCCTAAGCCATGGGACATAATTTTTTGTCTTTAACTGCAAGTTGCATTTTCCTGTTTTTTGTCATTAGTTTTTCAAAAAGCCGTACAAGAAAGGTCTTTGGGGTTTTTCTTAACCAAAAACTTCCTTCTTAATCAAAGGAAACTGATGATCTAGATTGTGTTCTGATCCAAAATATAACTTCATATCCTGGATACAATTTCTTCATTAATTTTTCATACAGCAAAATATAATATATGGTTTCTTTCGCTGTGTGGCAGAAGAATGCTTTTGAATTACTGATTTATGGCACCTGTGTTTCATCCTTTCCTCTTATTTTTACCTGTGAGATCTTTAGTCCTAAAAATGAGGTCAGTGGTTTCAGAATAAAATGCGGAAATGAAATAAAATGTATTTGTCTCTTCTGTCGTGCGGTCATGCTTAATAACTAATTTACCTTTTAATGGTATGTGATTGCATTCATGAAATACATGAATACAAAAGCAGTATATGGAAAAGTATTAATCTTTTCACTATTCACTCAGTGATTTGAAGATCATGTAATATCCAGTCATCCTCTGAAGAACAGACAATCAATTGTAACCATAAAAAAGTGGCAGATTTGGGGAAAATAAGGGGATGCTTAAACTAAAAAATTATTTTAAGCTGTACTTAAACAAAGGGGCAACTGTGTAATAGGCAATTTCGGTGGCTTATTACAAGCAATACTTCCTTAGACCCACTTTATTAATCCTTGTGAACTATAAAACATTATACTTAGTGAGATAGGCTTAATAGAAAAATTCCATCTCAAGTGGCTTAGCAGTATTTCTCAGCTGAGTATGTAAATTAAGTGTTGCAGTGAAACACCTTTGGGGGCAGATGAAACAGGCAGAATGCCAAATCTTTGCTTTAATGATGGGAATTTCTGTAGGAAAAGGTAACGTGGTAATAGCAAAAGGCATGATAGAAACAATGCATGTGATTCCTCATAAGCAGCGCTGAAACTGAGAGGTGAGAGGAATAGAACATATTTTCCTTTTTTTTATTTATTTATTTTTTAAATTCTCTGGCTACTGCATCCCAGTGTGTTCATGTGCGTGTGCTGCCATCTGGTGAGAGTTACTGATGTGCTGCTTATTCCCCTTTGTAGGTCTACTGCATCCTGTGGTAATGCATTCAGTAAAGAAGAGGTACTCTGCAATGGCTCATGTCCTAATAAAACTGAAAGGTTTCTACTCTTGTCCTCATGATGAGAGGAGTACATAATGCCAACTCCCCCACAGTCCAATAACCCCAAACCTGCCACTGGTCAACTGATGAGAACTCTGTATTAATTCTTAAGAGGTCCCAGTTTTGTCCTGGGTACGTAATAAGCCTGCAGACATGATACATGAGAGATTATCCTTGGAGGAAACAGAACATCTTACAAGTTAGCCTTTCTGGGAAATGTTATTTATTGCCAGATGAAAATGTAGTACTAAAATTTAAAAAGCTGCAGTTGTATTTTAGTGTTTGATTCAGCAGCATTCCAAAATTGCTT